GTCAATGACATGAGACAAAGTATATGTGAACTGCTGTATGAAAAGTGAATTTACTCTGTAAATCTTCACCCAAATCCTAAAAAAAAAAAAGAATTCTGTAGAAGTTGTCTGCCTTGAGCACGGTGCACTTTTAAAGAATTATCTACATGGGATCAAGTTAAAAACACCAACTTGAAAGGTTAGATAGGAATCTTAGGGGCAGTGAGTAAATATTAATGGGGAAGGAGTAATTCAGGGAAGGAAGGTGAAAATGGTTGCAGAACATGAAGAATGTAATCAATGTCACTGAATTCTACACATAGAAATTGTTAATTTGGTGTGTTTTTAACAACAAAAATGAGTTGCAAAACAAAAAACACAATACCACCTCACCTCCTTTAGAATGGCTATAGTAAACAGGAACGTAACAGGTGTTGGCAAGGATGTGGAGAACCCTCACCCACTGGTGGTGAGAACACAAAATAGCATAGCTGCTCTGCGGCTATGGAAAACTGTTTGAAGGTTCCCCCAAAAGTTGAACAGAATACTATATGACCCAGCTATACACCTAAAAGAACTGAAAGCAAGAATGCAAACAGAAACCTGTACACCAGTCTTCATTGCAGCACTTTTCACAATAGCCAAAAGGCAGAAACCAAAATGTGCATCTGTAGATGACTGGGTAAAATTGTGGTAGATATACACAAAAGAATATTACTAAGCCATAAAGATTAAGTCCTGATACATGCCACAACATGAACCTTGAAAACATTTTGCTGAGTGTAATCAGTCAGTCATAAAAAGGGCAAATACTGTTTGATTTCACTCATGTGAAATAGGCAAAAAGAAGCCAGAGCTTATTAGTGGTTACCAGAGGTGGGAGGAAGGGGAAAAGGGGGAGTTACTGTGTAGGTGCAGTGTAGTAAATTACTTTGTGTGGCTTTTCTACCCATAAGTTTTTGTAAACTCCAAGGTGGGATTTGCTATGAGCAACTGAGGAGCTCCTGATTGCTGAAGGTGTCCACCTGGAGTATTTCTGTTGGGAGTGGCACAAAACAATGTTCTGGGAGGTGCCCACTCTCTCTCAGGTGCTTAGAGTTCTGATGCTATAATTGACTAGTTTGACCACCCTGCTGGGCTCAAAAGGAGGCCTCCTAGAGGCAGAACTCTCTCAGACTGCTGGTTGAGGAAGATGTGCTGCTGAAAGAGACACGCACCCTGGAAAGAGACACGTGCTGCTGGGAAAGAGGCGCAAGAGACACGCATCGCTGAGTGAGACACCGAGGGACCAGCACTGCTGGGAAAGAGACTGTGAGAGACTGTTGGCTGAGGGACGGTGGGCTGGGAGAGAGACTGAGCGTTTTTCCTGAGCTTGAATTGTAGCCTGGTGCTTCCCTAATAAACTCCATAATCTGTGAGTTCTGTGTGGCCACTGCAGCGAATTATCGAACCCAGGAGAGAGGTGGTGGTGCTTTGGGAGGAACGGTTGGAGAAAGGGCTGGAGGGAGGCAGCATATCTGGCCTTGTGTTACTGCTGGTAATCCTGTCTTCCTCTTGTGGGATTAGAGGAGGTCAGAACATGTGGCCTCCTTGCCGTTTTTGCAGTAGGGGACATTGAGTTTCTGTTAATGGTGGTGGGATGAGTCAGAAAAGGATCATTATAATGGTTGCACAACATAAAGAATGTAATCAATGGCACTGAATACTACATGTAAAAATTGATGAATTGGCAACTCTTGTTATATATTTTTTTCACAATTGAAAAAACACTTCATTTATAAAAAAAACTGTATTAGTTGGAAATGTATAAATTGAAGAATACAAAAGAAATTTATATTTTCAGTATATGCTATGGTGGCATAGTGCCTAAGGCATTTGACTGCTAACCAGAAGGCTCCGGTGGTTCAAACCCACCAATCTACTTCCATAGTGATACAGCCTCGGAAACCCAAGGAGGGGTCGCTATGAGTCGGATCCAACGCAATGGCAGTGTTTGGTTTGTTTTTTGTCATTAATGGGTTGGTTATATAAATTGACAATTATTGTCTTGCCCTCTTTGCATGAGTTCCCCGCCATATATGCTATATGGTAAGCTGCTGCTGAGCGAAGGGTATAAAGTAATTTACAAATGGTGAATGGAATTTGCATATTCAGAGACATATTTCATGTGCATGGTACTTAGCCTAATATAAAATCACGAGTGCTCTGCTGGGATAGACAAGGACATCACAGTCTTTACTTTTCTTTCAGTCCTAACAGCAATAGTCCTCAACAAGTCTTTGACTTGGCATGGGCAATCTCTTCCCACTTCAACCAAATTCTGTCAATATCTGTTATAACTGTCATTTAAACTGAATAATAAAGATAAGTCAAGTGTATTGTAAAATCACAAGTAGGACTTCAAGTTTAGCACTGAATTGTTAAGATCAGTATTTACCACTAAATGAAGCTGGGGAAGAAAAGAATTGTAATAATCCCTATTTTAAATTTATGTGATTATTGGGTTAAACTCATGCCTGATCTTGCTCACCATTATAAACTAAAACATTAGCTCAATGCTTGGCACGTCGTAGGTGTTCAATAAGTATCTGCTAATGAATGAAAGTCATACCATAGTAATTGTGGTCAGCTATGTAAATCACAAAAAATAAAAGCCAAAAAAAAAACAAAAAGGGGGACAGGAGGCAAAGCACATTACTTGTATTCCCACATTGTGCTAAGATTCCTGAAAACCTAGAATCCCTGAAAGCCTAGTGGTAATTGAATTGTTTCTAACAGCAACTTTACTTCTATGTCAAAACATTCTGTGTCCCTAGTGATGGCGGTAAGTTGGCAAAATAAAGGACAACAATTCTAAATATTTTAACATTCAGCCTATAGAGCTATCTGGCCAGTTCACTCCCAGACACATTTTTCAGGATAAGCACATACTCAACATTTAATGATTATTTATTTTTCAGGTTAAGAGGTTTTAAAATATGTATATACAAGATAAATAAAACAAACAATACTCAGAGAATCACTATAGTACAGAATACATAAATATACAGGGTGTTTTATAGGGTACAAAAATTATATCATCAAATACAAAGGAACACATTCAAGAAAGGTAGGCAAATTAGACCACCTTGGCAAAAAATGAAGATATATTAACTAAGACAGACCACGAGGAAGCCCCTAAACATCAGAGTGAAATTTCTTTTGTATCCCTCCCAGTTCTCTGGCTTTCCTTTTCTGTGTTCCGTTGCATGCTTCTGGGTCACTGGCCTCTGGTAGATTATCCGTCACCTCTTCCTCATCAGCCTTAGAAAGAGCAGACAAGGTGAAATACAAGGCTCACAAAACTGCCAGCATGGAGAAGAAGGAAGCTCTATATTTTCCAAGTACTTCTTTGTTGCCTCTTGTATTTAGTATTCCCTCCAAAAGCATCCTTTTCAATCTTTTGTGTGTTTTAAGTTTTTGCTTCTCTTTATAAGTGAAATATAACTGCTATTTAATCTGAAGGCCACTGTAACTCAGCAAGAACCAGGATGTGCTAATCTCCATGTCTTTGCAATGTGTATCTTGAATGGCTCCATAAGAAATGTCATTTTTCCCCTCCTGCCTTAATTTGGGGTCTGCTCCACTGCAATCAAATAAAAAGTTCCCTGATGCAGCGTACAGTGTGCTCATCTAGCAGAGCTTTATGGCCCCAAACAATTCTTTACTTTCCTAGGCCTCAGTGAGAGCTCTGGTAGTGTAGTGCCTAAGGCACTTGCCTGCTAACCAGAAGGCTGGTGGTTCAAACCCACCAGCCACTCATTGGAAGGAAGGTTGGGCAATCTAATTCCATAGTGATACTGCCTCGGAAACCCAAGGAGGGGTCGCTATGAGTCGGGTCCGACTCCACGGCACATAACAACAACAACAGCCCTGTACCCCTCTTCCCTAAAATTCCTATGAATAGTCTCCCTTCTTGGTGTCAAAACAAAAGCAATTTAGAAAACAGCATCTGAATCACTTCCTCTCTATCCCTGCTACCCCCAAGAAATTGAAAAAAAAAAAAAAAAAAAAATTTTTTTTTTAATTTAACCAGATGCTGTCTGCCCTCTAGTGTCGTCAACAGATGATAACTGTTAGGAAAAACTCAGTTGGCTGAGCTACTAAGCTATTTCGCAGAATAATTTTTTATAAGATTGTAGTAGGAAAAAAGGATCAACTACCCATTCGAGAGTACAACACAAATCTGCCAAATCTAATAAACATTATTTACACCTATATAAAAGGGGCTCTGGTGGCACAGTAGTTAAGGCATTCAGCTGCTAACCAAAAGGTCGGTGGTTGCAACTGACCAGCTGCTCTGTGGGAAAAAAACGATGCAGTCTACTTCTGCAAAGATTTATAGCTTTGGAAACTCTGTAGGCAGTTCTACTCTTTTGTACAGGGACACTGTGAGTTGGAATCAACTCAATGGCAGTGGATTATACCTATATAGATATATACACTCAAGAGACTGACAACAGTACCATAAGCTGAGCTGTACAGACATCATACCTTCTGTTTCTGTCTTGCATGCTTCTCTGTCCATTGCCTGGCATTCTTGAGGAAGACTGGCTTATTATATTTATATTCTGAGGACTGAAATAAAAAATAAAAAAGAATCAATGGAGAGAAAAATGATTTGTAGTGGTAAGCTATAGCTACTTCAGTTATAGACAGCTAGTGGATAGAGAAATTAGGGTATGTATTGGAGGGAACACTTACTATGTCAGCCATGAGTGGGTCATCAGGGTTGGGTTCTGACATAAGCAGCTGGATTGAGGTCAATACAGTCGCGATGTTGAGGGATGGTCTCCAGGCGCCCTGTACACAGACAGGCAGTTGCTTTTGTATTACTAAGAATGTGATACTTTAATTCAAGGGTTACAGATGAGGACAAAAGAATGCTGTAAAGTCAACCCTTTACCCACTACTCACTTTTGGTGGCATTTTGAGAAGATCTAGACAAATCCTTCCAGCAGAATCAATGTTTGGATGATAGATTGGAGTCAGAAATCGGATCTTAGGAGGTTCAAATGGGTACCTTTGAAAGCATAGGACAATGGACATATTTTCATTGTAATATTGCTTCTCAATAAAGTATAAGCAGACTCCTGGTCATTGATATGAAAAAAAAAAAATGCTGGTATTATAGAAATACCAGGAAGACAGCCTTTGGGAGGCAAACCTGTCCTCCCTCCAGTTTTTTATCAGGAAAATTTTCAAACAGAAAAGTTAAATATAACAATGTAACACTTACATACCCACTGCTTGGCTAGTGAACCCCCTAAATACTTCAGCAGGTTGTCTCCTAAGAAATAGGACATTCTACTATATTAATTGCAATACTATTATACCTATGAAAATTAAAAATAATTCTCCAATATTACCTATTCAGTTCATATTTATATTTCCTCAATTGTCTCTAAAATGTCTTTTACAGCTGGGTTTTTCAAACCAAAGTCCAGTCAAGACTTATACATTACATTTGGTAATTATGTCTCTGTACTGAGAAACAAACCTTGGAAAGTTTCTAGTTTATTTTCAGATCTGATGTACCACATGATTAAGCAAACTTTCTCAGGATTTTAACAAGTTTATCCAGGATCAAACCTGTATATTCTAACAGTTATGGATATTCACTTCTCTCTTCCCCATTACACAAAACTACCACAACTACTACTCATTTGATTAGACCCTGAAAGGAGACTTAAAGTAGAGGGGCTTAGCTATGATCTTGGGAGCTCTGGTGGCATAGTGAGTAAGGCATTTGACTGCTCACCAGAAGGCTGGTGGATCAAACCCACCAGGTTGGGCAATCTACTTCCGTAGTGATACCGCCTTGTAGTGATACAGCCTCAGAAACCCAAGGAGAGGTCACTATGAGTCGGATCCTACTCGACAGCAGTGAGTAGACATGATCTGGCTCATTATTTTAGAGAAGGAAGCTAAATGCCAGAAACAAAATAACTTGCCTAAGGTCACATTAAAAAAAAAACAAAAAACAACAAACCAAACCCACTGCAGTCAAGTCAATTGTGACTCATGGCGATCCCATGTGTTGCAGAGTAGAAATGCTTTATCAGGTTTCCTCCGCTGTAACCTTTACAGAAACAGATCACCATGCCTTTCTTTTGCAGCACTGCTGGGTGAGTTCAAACTGTCAATCTTCAGGTTAGTAGTAGAGAGCAAACTGTTTGAGTCACCCAGAGAACTAACGTCACATTAAGTCATAATAAAATGTAGAATTAAAATACAGATCCTATAACCCCAAGATTTAATGCTCTATCTACTACACTGCTCTCTCTTCTGAAACTGCACTTTATCCTCTAGGTTGAGAATCAGATTCATACTAACCTCTCAGGAATGGTAACTTCCAGCTTGAAAACACCTTTGGCATATGGTGTGTTGGCCCCACCTAATATTTCTTAAAAGAAAAGTTAAAAAGGGAATCAGATGACTTAAATCATCATGCCATATGAACCCAATAAGGTTTATGGTCCTAACAGAGAAACTAGGTCTAGGCCAATAATTCTCTCTCAGGATGTTAACAAATCCTCATCACCATGAAGCTGATGTATCCAAAAAGGTGATGGTGTCACAACTAGGGCACACAAAAGGTCTAAAACAGAAGTTGCAAAATGCTGTAACACACCAAATAAAACCAGCACGTTTGTTTTATCCGGACTGCAGTATTCTAATTATTTACACTTCCTGTCTGGATTCAAACATTTGAGATGGTGATCTCTGGTCTAACTATTGCTTCAGAGATGATGCCTAAATCTTGGCTATAAATCAGCAAAAGGTATAACAAGAGCCAGAGAGGCAAGAAATGTCAAGCAAACCCTTTATGAATGCAAACAAATTAAGGATAGAAAGATAGCAGGGCGCTTTGACTGTGCAAATGCTCCCTACTTTAGAAGAATATACAAATGTTGAACTTCAGCACAGAATTCTGCAGGGTCGTAAAAGACATGCTGTGATGATACCCACGAGCTCGAAGATCATCCATCTGATCCTTATCCTGCCAGCATGTGATGCCAGGGGGTGGCTCTGTGGCTAACAGGTTCAACTCCTTCTTCAGACGTGTAGCTCTCTGCATGATCTCCAAGTAAAAGAAAACACACACAGTTCACTAAGAGCTGAGTGGGACTCACTAGGGGAGAAGAGGCAATCATGAAACAGTCAGCAATAGTTACTGTGGAGCTTTCAGCACATGGCTTCAATTTAGTGAAGGACAAATAGGCTCCTCTTATTAATCCCTATTCTGACAAGGGAATCTGAGTTTTCTCCATTTCCTTCTTGTGAACTTACTATCTATCAAAGCAACTAAATTTCAAAAATAAAGAATAAAAAGTGCAAAAAAGTTCTGTAAACAACAAAAACACTAAAGGTTTTAAAATTAATATCTTGTTTCCAGTGTTAGATCAGAAACTCATGAGGATGGGGCCTGGGTCTGATTTTACACACCACTGTTTCCTTGGCTGGTATCCTTAGCATGCCTCGCACAGTAAGGAACTTGACAAACATTAGCTTTGTGAAGAAGTCTACTTATGCTTTAGGAGGAGAACAAAGAGAGTGATACAGTTAGTCAACACCAGGGGCTCTGCTTCTGAGACATAATAGTTAAATATGAGGTTTTCCCCATGTATTGTGGATCCCACTCCTCCCATTATTCCATCTCATTCCAGTATATCCAACCTTTTTTTTTTTTAACCCATCAACATTCAAAAAGCTGCTCTCATCTAAAGCACACACCCATGCACATATCCACTCAACACCCCCTCTGAAGTCTCATTTGTCATCTAGCTACCACCAAAGTGAGTCAGACCCAGGGTTACAGGTGAGGAGAGACAACTCAGGGGCGCCCAAAGTAGCAGGCGGGAAGAGCAGGAGAAAGGGGATTAAAAGCCAGGAAGCCAGAGAGAAGAGCAGTCAGCCGAAGGGATTAGGTGAGGAGAGGAAACTCGGGCCCGCCCA